TAACTTGCAACAGGAATTATTTTTAATATTATTAAAGTTCAGAACGTACAAGTATGTCATTAGTGCGGACATTGAAAAGATGTATCGTCAAATTTTCTTAACTGAAAATCATCAACAATTTCAAAGAATATTTTGGCGTGAAAATGTAAGTGACCCTCTCCAAATTTATCAATTAAAAACAGTGACGTACGGGACAGCGTCAGCACCATATCTTGCGATGCGGTGCTTAAAACAATTAGCACTAGAAAATATGAATGTATTACCTGTAGCCGCGTCAAATATTTTAAATAACTTTCATATGGATGACTTAATTTGTGGTTCAAGTACATTGGAAGAAGCGCTTGCACTTCGCGACGACATCATTCAGATCTTAAATCAAGGTAATTTCAAATTACACAAATGGGCTTCAAATGAACCAACATTATTACCAGAAACTGACATAAAGGCTTCTGTTAATTTTTCTAGCGACACTGAAACAAAAACTTTAGGTTTAATTTGGAATTGCCACAAAGATCAACTGAAGTATAACTTAGCGTTAAACAGGCTACCCAGCAAAACTACAAAACGCACTATTTTGGCCACAGTGGCTACAATTTTCGATCCATTAGGTCTTATCACTCCAGTAATTTTAAAGGCTAAATTACTTCTGCAATCTTTATGGGCCGCGCAAATTGGTTGGGATGACCCAATTCCTAGTGATCTAGAATATCATTGGAACCAATTTCTGATTAATTTACCTGATGTCAAGAATATTGAAATCTCACGTCATATTTTTAGAAATGACACACCGAATATCGTTGAATTGCATGGCTTCGCAGATGCGAGTACTAAGGGTTTTGGAGCCGCCATTTATATTAAAACAATTTTATCAAGTACTGAAACACATACTCAATTATTATGTGCAAAAAGTAGAGTAGCCCCACTCAAAACTATATCGCTGCCTAGATTGGAGCTTTCAGCAGCTTTACTATTAGCGCGATTAATAAGTAAAATTCTGCCTGAACTAAATTTAAAAATTAATAAGTGTTTTTTGTGGACCGATTCAACAATCGTGTTAAACTGGATTGCGGCTTCACCACATAATTGGCAAACTTTCGTGGCGAATAGGGTGTCAGAAATTCAAACTTTAACATCCGGTCATAATTGGCGCCACATAAATGGTGCCGATAACCCTGCAGATCTGATTACTAGAGGTTTATTTCCTAAACAACTCATTGATTGCAAATTGTGGTGGTTTGGTCCCGAATGGCTCTCAAAACCACCTACGGACTGGCCACAGACAATCATCGACTTAGGAACTGAAGTTCCAGAAAGACAAAAAACATTAATTACTTCCACCTGTACTACTTTTAAATCGGATTTATTAATCAGATTTTCAAATTTTACCAAGCTTAAAAGAACTGTTGCATGGATCAAGCGTTTTGTAAGTAACTGTAGAAACAAAAGACTTAACAAAGAATTAAAGTCGGGTTTACTAACCATAGAAGAATTGGACGATGCCAACCGCGTAATTATAACGTTAGTTCAACGTGAATCTTTTCAAAAAGAAATTGCTATTTTAAAATCGGGTAAAGAATTGCCAACAAACAACTCGTTACTCTGCTTAAGTCCGTTTTTAGACTCTAATAACATTTTAAGAGTCGGTGGTAAATTACGTAATGCCGTTCTTGCTTATGACAGAAAGCATCAGATTATTTTGCCAAAGAAACATTACTTCACGGAGCTATTAATTCGTCAATATCATATCGCTCACTTACATGCGGGGGCCCAGGCCACACTAACCGCGTTGAGACAAATTTATTGGCCCATCGCTGGACGGGATGCAGTCAGATTCATCCTCAGAAAATGTATTAATTGTTTTAAAGTAAAACCCAAAATTAATTCTGAAAAAATGGGCGATCTACCGGCGGTGCGTCTGCAACAGTACCGGTATCGATCTTTGTGGTCCGATCATCACCAGGATGGCCGTGGTAGAAAACCGAAACACGTTAAGGTGTACATAGCGTTATTTGTTTGCCTCAGCACCAAAGCCGTGCACCTGGAACTTATTTCTGATCTTTCAACCGAAGGTTTTTTAAATGCGCTAAGACGATTTATTTCGCGACGTGGTACTGTTAGTGAAATTTATTCGGATAATGCTACCAATTTCGTAGGTAGCGACCGAAAACTAAAGCAAATCTTTAGAAATGTTTTAAACAAGGAAACATTAAAGTCAAATTTGGCAAACATGAAAGTAAAATGGTGTTTTATTCCCCCCAAAACGCCCAACTTTGGAGGAATTTGGGAAGCCAATATCAAATCGGCAAAATTACATTTAAAAAAGACAATTGGTGATACAATTTTGAATTATGAGGAAATGCACACATTACTTGTCAGAATTGAGGCTTGTCTTAATTCGCGCCCTCTGCTCCCCTTGACCAATGATCCAAACGATCTTTATCCTCTAACACCTGGCCACTTTTTGATTGGGGCTCCGTTAACTGCCCCCGTAGAAGAAGATCTCGAGTCTACAAAGCTGAACCGGCTAACACGGTGGCAGCATGTCGAAAAAATGCGGCAACATTTTTGGCGAAGGTGGCAAAGAGAATACGTATCGCAACTACAACAGAGGTCCAAGTGGCGAGTTATGGGGCCTTCTTCCGTGAAACCGGGCATATTAGTCCTTCTTGTGGAAGATGACGCACCACCTCTTCACTGGCCGCTTGGCCGGGTCCAGGATGTCCACCCAGGAAAGGACGGCGTCGTCCGCGTAGTGACGGTAAAAACTTCAAAGGGTGTCTACAAACGCGGTGTGTCCAAAGTGTGTGCGCTGCCAATAGATGGCCAATAAAAATACTGTACCCGCGAAATGTCAAAGTGCTATTGTGTAGTGAAGTGCGTATGATAACGACCTTTGTGGCTCTTGTGCTGTGCGTACTCACTCAGACTTGCATTTTTATGTGTTTAAATTTACGTTTCTGGATTTTGTACCCTTCATGTTATGTTCAAGTTTATGTTTGCCTCTTAATTTGTACATATGTTGTTGGATTCAAATGGATGCTTATTTTTACGTATATTATTTGACGTGTTGTTAGTACTCAAATTCAATTTCTTTAGCGCATTCCAATCAATGTCATTTCTTGTGTATTTAAAATATGGTACTGTCTGATATGCACTACAGGTTTTGTATGGTTTGTCATCAATCTGTGTGTGTTCTTATTTTTATATTGCTAGTCTAAAATGTACAATTGTAGTGTGAATTGTATGCCTAGAGGCATTCAAGGGCGGCGGCATGTTGCGTGTGCTACAATGTCGTCGGTACGCCTATGTCTTTAGTACGCCTATGTCGTCGGTGTGTCAAAGAAATGTTGCAGCTGCAGGTCTGCAGCCACCCCTTTGACCCGGTTGACCCGTAAAAAATCATTGGGTTTCGATTCGGGGGCGACTTCTTATGTTACACCGACACAGTTAGTTTTTAAGTCAGTCGCTATTAAGTTTTGTCGGGAACATCTAGCACACGGGTGCGCTGATGTAATAATCAATTTTCAATAAAACTGTGTGCCATACACAATTGTTTATAATCTCCCCTCACCGCTACAATTATTTCAAATTTACATGTGGCAAAGATATTTTGTATTTTTTTGGTGTCGGACGTAAACGTTTTCAGTAAGTGTATTTATTTTATTCCTTTTGTAATAACTACCCCAAATTGTATTGATTAAATTCGGGTAAAGTAACACCTGACACTCATTATTAAGAGCAAGATTACAATTTGTCTTGATTATAAAGCGTAATAATTATTTTTGTTTAAATTACGAAGTCACCATGTAATATGAGAATAATTAAGTATTCGGTCATCTTATAAAAAACACTCAAAAATTAAATAATTTCAAAATCTTTTCAAAAATCGATACTAGTATGAAACTAATGAATATTTACTCCAGTGGTGGAAGTAAATTTAATTGTATAAATTTGCAATTAATTTTGTTGGTGTGAAGTTGACAAATTTGTGAAACTGCCCATAATATTCCTAATATTCATACAACATGTGACAACAATCGGTCCAGTAGGTTCGGAGATTACTTGTCTAATAAAATATACAGAAACTAGACACACAGACAGACGAAAAGGGGAGACCACTTTTTTCGTACTTTAGAGGTTATGACACGTCGAGAAAATATGAAAGTCGCAATTCGGCCGATGGACTCGATTCCTATACTTCGTTGTATTACTCATCTCAAGGGTGGAAAGTGACATCTACTTCCATCTCTTGGGTGGAAAGTGACATATCCACCCTTAAGATGGAAGTTTCGTATATAATAGCTCATTTCTAAACTTTTAAAAAGTTTGAAAAGTCACATTACTGATCGATTTTGGCTTCCAAAAAAACCTCTAAATTAGATACTTGTACATGTGAGTTTTTACTTCCCGAGCGTAAGCAAAGGAAGTATTGTAATCGAGTCCGTCGGCCGACTCTCTACTTATGCATTTTCTCCACCTGTCATGACCCCTAGAGGACGAAGAAATAGGTCTCCCGTTTCCGTCTGTCTGCCGTCCCGGATTTTTATTAGACAGATAATCTCCGAAAGTACTGGGCCGATTGTTGTCAAATTTTGTATTTATAATAGGTATATCATGTAGATGGTAAAACGCTAACCAAAAAAATTATCATTGTATTTCAGGAGCGAGACAAGTGCTGTCGAAACAACTTTCGACCAATTTTTTTTTAGATAAAACATTAGCTTGAATATCACACCCACCATTCATAAACATTAACTTAAAAGGTGAAACTCTGGTTATGAATAAAACGGCGTTTCCTCATAACACCGGATGTTAAGAATCGCTATTCTTAAAGACAATACACAAAGTAAAATTTAATATGCTCCAACTCAACAGTGATCCAACCTCAGTGTTAGAAAATATAAATAAAAGTAAACACTTGATGGCTTAATTATTATATTTTCTTATTGCTAGAATTGTGTGTGTATCGTCGATTAACTGCTTCACTCTTATCTTTCTAGGTGTATTGGGTCCAGCAACAACATGAAAAGAAACGAAAAAAGCGGGACTACGTTTTTCGCCCTTCTGTGACCCCATTTTCTCAATACTTCAGCGCTGCAGCGCCAGGTGCTTCACTGCCACACGGTCAACCGCGTTATCGAGCAGCACCCTCAGGCGATTTTCCGGATCCGCTCTTCAAAGAACAATGGTATCTGGTAAGTTGTCATTTCATATATTCCATTTTCAAATTGTTACATGATACTTTCAATGAGATTTTCTTCAGAAATATTGTATAACAATTTTTGGTAAATAAAAAGCAACATATTTTACGAAACTTATCCAACTCAACACGATGACCATAGCATCACCCGTAAACCATGTACCATCTTTAGTTAAACCGTTATCCAAATGATGAAGCATAATCTTGATGCTTTGTAATGTTCTGACATTGCGCCGCACAATTAAGCCGTAATTACGCGGTGAGTTTTTATGTACTCCACGACTGCTAATTCCTCAAGAAAACTAAGAGGGTTTCATCTTAATAACTCACTCGAGAGCTGCTTTCATATCGAGACAGATGAACATTAATTTCACGCCGACTCCACCACTATACGGCTTAACAATAGCATCTAGTTTTAATGCCCGACGTGTACAACGTCTGACACTAAGAGAGATATAAAAGGCAACAATAAATAACTCGTGCAAGCCGAGGTGCATAGGCTTTATATAACAATAAGGTTCTCTCTTCAGCTCTGTACTCTTTATAGGCCGAGAGGGCACGGACGGAATGATTTATCGTTATATTCTTCGCTGTCAGGTTAGCGGTTATTGGTGTCATATCCTCCAGGATAATGGACTATTCATGCCCGATCCTCCGGGCTCAGATGTTGGTGCTTGAGTGTCCTTTCAACGAAGACGTTCACGGTTCTCTTATGTCACGATGTGTAGTATACGCGCAATTAGGTACCTTTAGTAGTAACGTATACGTATACGGTAATCGTTTTCTAATGGCTTCATCACGTTGTTATTTTCTGTCATTACAAATGATTAAATCACACTGAATTAAAAGTAAATTCGACACCTTTAAGTTCCACTGAAGATGAAGTAAATTTTATTTTTGGCTACAAAACAAATGAGAAACCGTTTTTAATTACACTTTTTCGTAAATAATTAAGAGCACAGTTGAGTTTAAAATGTTTTAAATGTGATGTTAATTATTGTTTTATCTGCTCCAACAAACAAATATCTCTTTGAAGTTTTAGCACACCTTTTAGAAAAAACAAAAACGCTAAATTGTGTTTGTGCAAGTTTAACTCTGATTTTTGACTGATTCAAGTCGAATTTTGGTACCAGTTTAACAACAGTGCAGTGGTGTTTAGAACAGTACATGGGAAGATATTCTGTGATTTTCTTTAAATCCCGCGTGTCTTATCAATTGCTCTTTTTGTCTGCTGTTATCTTGTTTCGTATTGAGGCGAGTCACTGTAGATTCAAAATTCTTCGTCTGAAGACGAGAACACCCTCAAAAGGGATAGGCGTCATAAGAGCACTATGTTAAGATGGGGGAGAATCTTTGTTCTCCTCTTTTTCCAGCCTAACACCAAGTTGTTATTTTAAGTGCTATTAGAGTTGTAAAATTTATTGTGGCTCTAAGTTTTTCATCAAAAAATCTCATCTTCGCGTCGCGAATGTCATACGATGGCTATCACAGTTAACAGTACTGAAGGAAATGTACGTTGTTTTTTAATCCTGCAAAACGTGTTATTTTCTCCAAGGCTTGCCTGTGCAGCAGTCCCCCACAGAGTTATAGAGGAAATGGTCAAGCAATTAAGTTTTACTTCGGTTTCCTTTTTTTTTTTTTTTTTCTTACATTTATGTCAAACCTAACGAATAAATAGATCTTCCATCCTCACTTGTTTTAAAATATGACGAAAAGAACTACTGAATTTACTACCAACATTACTATAAAGAACCCTAATAATAATGGTCAGACAGCAATTCCACCAAAACTAGGAACTAGACGACGTACACAGGACGACGGTTAACTGAGCAGAATCTCATGGACTTATCACTTAGCCCACTTATACATGAGGAAAATACTCAGCAAGAGCAACCAACGAAAAAGATAAGCTTTCATATTCCATTGAAACTTTAAACCCTATTTCTGACTTGTGGTATCTAGCCAAACAGCTCCTTGAGAATGCCCAATCCCCACGCAACTTTGAGAAAAATCAACTGGAAAAGTGGATCTGTTGACACTGACTCATAGATATACAACTGACGTACAAGGTGTAATAGACATGTTGTTTGATATATTTCCTGTGGTTCAACACAAAAGCGTAAAGAATCGCTGTAAGAAAATCCAGAAATGTTTAAGGTGTTTCTTGCAAAACTGGTGCTTCTAAGTGAAACTGAGCGCATAGAGTTATTAATGATTATGGGTTACGGTGACAAAAGAGGAAGTTTTACTCAAGTAGTAACACTTTTCAGTGAAATTCATCCTGACGAAAAACCATTTCTAAGTCGACGGTTTCGAAAACCCTACGAAGATTTAATGAAACTGGAAGTCTTAAAGAACGTCCAAAACTTGCCTGGTGAAAAACTGCTCCAAATACCGTTAATGTCCTCTTAGACGCAACAGAAAATCCCAAAACGTCAGTGCAGCAATCAGCACTGAATCACAATGTTAGTAGAAAATCAATTCAAAAAATTGGTCTAAAGAGTTTAGACAGTACTGCCCTCGCTGTCGGAAACGTGGCGACTGCATGCTTATTGTGTTTTTTTTCACAGTAGATTTCAAAGCATTCGGTTTTGTAGTTCCTGAGTAAATCAGTAAAATAAATTTACGCATTCATTAATTTTTTTTTTGAGTCACCCTGTATATGCAAATCCAAAAAATATTACAAGTACAGACTCATTATATTTTGTACATTTTAGATAGGATTTAATATGAGTAGACGTACAAAATATGATGAGTTTGTACTTGTGATTTGTCATTCCATTAATATTTTTTGGATATGCGTATACAGAGTGACCCAAAAAAAATTATCATTGTATTTCAGGAGCGAGGGAAGTTCTGTCGAAACAACTTTCGACCAATTTTTTTTTCGTATGTTGATGTATCAGAGCTACTATATAATACAATTTCTACAATTAATAGTGAAAAAACAATTTTCTTACAGCCCTTTACACCTATCGAGGCAATAACATTAATATTAAAGACCACAAGAAAAACTATGCCTGGAATTGATAATATTGAAGACCGGGCACTTAAAGGCAGTGGCAGTTGCTTTAGCTGAACCTCTATGTTATTTCATAAATTAATCCTGGGAGAAAGGAGTTTTTCCCAACAGCTTGAAACATTCCAAGTGTGTACCAATATTTAAAAAAGGGGGTTCAAAATTCAACATATCAGATTATAGGTCAGTGTGTATACAAAGTCAGATGTGTAAAGTTTTAGAGGCGGCTTTTTTAGAAAGATGATTATTTTTTCTTGAAAAAAATAATCTATTTTAATATAATATATACATTTATTTACGGAAAATTACCTTATTACAAATAAAGAATTACATATTCAATGCAGATCGCACATTACGTTTAAAAGTTAATATATTTGTGGAAAAAAAGTCAATACTTCCACAGTACTCATTAGTAACTGAGATCAATCTACTTACTGTGTTTTTGTTTCCATAATTTGTCCTATGAGATGATCTATTTAATAAGTCACTATGTCTAAGATTCCTCGAAGGAACATTATATGCAAACAAAGACAAAACACCTGGACAATTACAAATATTATTTAAAAGTTTGAACATGAAGCAGAGGTCAAAATAATTTCTACGTGTCTTTAAGGCGGATAATCCAAAATAACAAAGTAATTGACAATAATCACTAGATCTATAATTGATATTATACTTAAAACATAAAAATCTGACAAAACGTTTCTGAACATTCTCTAGTCTTTGTATGTTAACTTCAACGTAAGGAGACCAAATTAATGACCCGTACTCCAAAAGAGATCGTACAAGGGAACAATATAGAAGTACAAGCGTTCTCATATTGCTAAATTCGTTGCATTGTCTTAACAGGAAACCCAGTATTTTATTACCTTTGTTCACAATATTTTCAATATGACTATTGAAAAGAAGAAAATTACTAAAAGTTACACCCAGGTCATTAATTTGCTCTACAGTTGATAATTCGTCCACGTCAATAAAATAAGACTGTCGCATCATTAGTCTTTTACGAGAAAACCTTACAAGTTTACATTTAGATTTGTTTAACTCAAAATCATTAGATCGACACCAATTGACAAAGCTGTTCAGTTCATTTTGAAGTTTGATACTATCTAAAATTGAGGTAATGCGGTAGAATATTTTTACATCGTCCGCAAAGAGCAAAAAACGACAATCCTGGAAGGCGGATTTCACGTCGTTCATAAATAAGATAAAAAGTAAGGGCCCCAAGTGAGAACCCTGGGGAACTCCTGATGAAACATCAATAAGTCGAGACTTGATGTTAGATGTCTTCACTCTTTGCTTACGGCCAGTAAGGTAGGATTGAATCCATGATAACAAAGGGTCACTAATTCCCATACATTTAAGTTTAATTATAAGTTTCGAGATATTCACGCGATCGAAAGCTTTCTTTATGTCTGTATACACACAATGAACGTCATAACCAAGCTCAACATTATCAATTAGGTATTGCGTAAATTCTAAAAGATTGGTGCTGGTGGAGCGACCCGCCATAAACCCATGTTGTTCATCAATAATAACATTTTTTGTTAGGCGTGATAGCACATTAGTTATTAACGATTCGAAAACTTTAGCCATGGTAGGTAAAATACAAATACCTCTATAATTTTCTACCAGGTTTAAGCTTCCACTCTTGTGAATTGGAACAATATCCGCCAACTTCCATAGAGCTGGAAAGACTCCAGATTTTAATGATCTTGTAAAAATCAGCTTCAAAGGAAAAGATAATGCTGAAGAGCACAGCTTTATGAAAGCAGACGGAAGAGCGTCAGGTCCAAGCGACCAATTCATCTCGAGGTTAGAGAGTGACTTTTCGATTTCATCTACTGAGATGTCGACGTGACTTATATCTAAAATATCACCTGTAAATGGTGTGTCACTTTTTACGTTAGTATTATAATTAACATACACTTTTTCAAAATGGTTTGCGAATGCATTACATATGTCAGGGGCAGTAT